TATCCAGCCCCCCGGCCTCAGCTACCCCTGGCCTGAGAGGCTTTATGTCCCGCTTCCGAAAGCGTGCAGCAGATACTCAAGCTGAAAATAGTAATGGGCTTTCGCGAGCTTCTCCAACCACTCCTTCTCCGACGACTTCGTCACATCATGGTCAAGGCCTACTTAGTTCTCCCGTTAATACCGTTTCACCCACTTCGGCACCTGTCCTGGCTTCTGCTTCTGTGCCTATAGTAGGTAGCGTTCGGCCAAGCATCGACGGAGCGCCAGCGATGGGCAATGATTCTGCTGCCGTCAAACAGTTGTTTGAGGCAGCTACCAATCTTGGTCTTGATCAAGCCGCATTAAATGACCTGTTAGCACGGTCTGCCTCAGTTTCATCACGCACAGCGGGCTGGTCTCTGTCAAGGAGTACATCAAATAATGCGGCAGGCTCATCCATAGCACGAGGTGACCTCTCAGCCATGCGATCTCGATCACCTCTCCCAGAACCACAATTTAACGATGATGGCGGTATCAGCAGCGGAGGAGATGATAGGACTGTGAGAAAACTCTCCATTCGCAGAGCGGGGGAATCCAGTCACAATCATCAAGGCATTCCTGAGAATCCCGCTATTGTCAGGAGAACGCTTATCTTTCCCTCGGACTTTCGTGCATCTAAAACGGACTTGAGCCAGATGGCGCGTAAGCCTTCGGGTAAGCGTCATCGTCGGCCGGGCAGCGCCACGTCTGCACAGTCTGGTCGTTCAGTACATGACCGCGCACCTACCCCACCGCCACCGAAGTCGAACGGAGGAAAGCGATTCTCAACTGATCGGTCACCTCCTTTACCCACATCAATGACCGCCCAAGCTGAGGTTCTTTTAAATCCTTCAACGTTAGGTGCACCTGTCGAGAAGCCGAACTCTGCGTATGATTCTCTGTGTGTAATTATTTTGTCCGTTTTTCCGTGTCTAATACTTAACATCAGATACGACATGTACGCTGGTGAGAGCAAAAATTCAAATACACCCGCTGACGATGCGGTGGACATTGGGAGCTCTCATGAAGGTCATCCCGACGGTGCTGCCCTTGAACTGATTGAGATGGCGAATGGCGAAACCATCTGGTGTGTATTGTTCTCTGGGTTTAGCCCATCCACTGGATAACTGACTGTTTTTAGGTCAATAGTGAACGGCTTGCGTGACGACGACCTTGAATCAGTTTATGCCAGCAGAACCAGTCTTGCATCCGAATATTCTTTGCGCGATAACACTGAAGCCCTGCAAGTGTTCGTAAAGGAACACGGCAGATCGACGTCAAAGGGTAGTGGTTCGTCGTTCCTTTCCCGTAAAAAGCCATCACAGAACAAGAATCGACCTGAAACCAAGGTGAATGGTCTTGCAACATCATCAAACGTCACTTTTCGCTAACGCCGGAGCAGGTTTTTTATAGGTTAGTTCTTGCGCTTGGTACGCAGAAGTTCGGTACTAATTGACTAACTCCAAGTTCGTCCACTCATATTGGTCGTTTGATCGAGTCACTTTCCCAGGGGATGGACGCCGGTTCATTCAATTTTGGTAACCTACCCCCTGACCGCACTACCCCATTATCATTCCACTCTGACGCCGATATGCATTGGACGGTTGAAGAAAAACTGGAACACATGCTGGGATCGATGAGAAATCCTTGATTGCTGGAGTTAATAATCGTTTATACTATATTGATCTTTTTTCGTTAGCTTGGTCTTACTTACATGGAGAATTTGTGTTTACATTGGGCGTTGTGATATTGATATTCGTACAGAGGCCGTAATACATGCATACATATTCCTTGTCATTCCAACCAACATCTCACCCGGTCCAATCTAGCCACCTATTGAGATTCAAAGTGATCAAGGCTTCCAGCAATAGAAGGTCATGACTAAAGCTATATTGCAGTGTTCCATGCGAAGGACCAATTGGCGTGGCTTGGGAGAGCTTCTGGAACTTAGCGATTCTTGTATTGGGTCCGGAGAACAGCTTTTGATAACACAGCATGTTAGCGGATGATATTTGAAATATTGTGGTAGACTTGCCTCGTACGACCTGGGGTCAGCGTGACACTTTCGCCATTCATATTGGCGACCATCGGCAGAAGGGAACCTACGAGCGCTGAAAATTGACTTAATATTAAGGCATCATTGTCATAGTATTAATACCGACTTACGATGTACTAGATCCCTGTTGGACCAGGTGTGTCATTGGAATTTCACGATCACCGATAGTTGCGACACCGAGGCCACCGTCTGGCCAATCCAACACTGCAACGGGACTGCGATTGCTAGATATCTGTAATGAAAGTTCGCAAGTTAGGCGTCGCCTGCCAAAGTCTGAAGACGGCACTGACAGTGGTACGTGCTGAGGAAGGTGGCAAGTATTGTGTCTCGAATTCAAAAAACACTGGCTTGGTGTCCTCGCCGATGACGATGCAGCCATTGCGAGGATCATCCCTTCCAGTGAAGTAAATCTCGAAGAAGTGGGCCATTGGAATGTAGATTGGTTGTTTTTCATAATGCTAGATCGCAGGCTTTATATCCCCGGGGAGTGACGAGCAAGCCCCAGGTTAACGCAACTCGTGATACTCAGTCACGGAAATTGGATATTATTTCGATCATGGTGTACTTCGAGGAGCCTGAAGAAGACACGCATAGATAGAGCGATGCAAGGCGATGCATTGTTCGTCTAAAAGCCGCGAAAAGTTCCGGCATCGATTCAGCGTCATCACTTTTGGGATTGAGGTGGACAATTCGAGGAGTCCTTCATCCGGCATGTCAAACAGCGTTCTGCTACCTCTCGGAACCTGTTTTCTACTATATTGGGCGACTAGCCGGCATCTGACGCGCTATGCGTGGTATTCGTGCAGAACGCGGGATAATTCGTGTACTTGGATTAAAGGGTTTGTGGGGGGAGGTGGAGGCGGGTTTCGGGGTGGTGTTTCTGCGTCACCGGGTTGATTACGTGACTAAAGACAAGACCGACTCAGTACTGAAGATCTGGGTCATTGAACCAGTTCATGTTCATTCAATCGATAGGCTCATCGAAAAAGTGTTGGAACCTGTAAAAGGTAAGTAATAATTCACAAGTTCCGGAGCGTTCTGCGCAGCTAAAAGGCTAATATTAACCACACTGCCAAGCAAATTGCCTATCAGGTATACACGATCGACATCGTATATTGAACCTGGCTATTTGTAGGTTTTCACTGGAAAGTAACGCTGAGCATTGCTGCGCGAGTAGTAATCTGGCGATAGTCAACGAGCAAAAAATAGGTCAACTGGGATTGCAGGAGTAAAAGTCACGTAATACGACTTTCCAACAAGATTCGGCTTCATGAGTTGACCTTCCATAGGGGCCGCTTTCGTATTTTTCGAGTGACGTGAACGGCGCTTCCACCAGGATGCCCTCCGCCGAATGCTAAAACAACCGTTTCTTCTGCTCCGTGCCCTCGTGCGATCCCTTTCTTCCTCATCTCTATTACATCCTTCGCAAACTTAAAACGGGTTTGATCAGATCCTGTGAATATAAAGATAAATGTTCGGTACAATGTTAATGACCGATAGCAGCATTTACCAATTTCAAACGCGCGTGATTCGACCGCCGATTTAAACATGTCGAAGGGCACAAGGGAAAATACACGCAACAGTGTGTCACGACTGGTGTGGCCCTGTGATAGGTCGGACTCGGATGAATTAATCTCCAGGGCGTTTGGGAGTGTCACCACGAGGAAGTGAAAAACATCATCTCTCAATCTTTGGGCAAAGTGACCAAAGACAGACGCAAGCGATAGTTCAGGGGTGAGAGATCCATCTGGTGATGAAGGGATCGTGTCAATGAACTCGAGCCATTCATTGATTGTCTCCACGTTGATCGATTGTCTGCATGCATCATACGCATAACCGCACAACTCATCCATGCCTCCAAGAAGACAACCAGCTGCGAGTACTCCTCGTGCATTGTCGGGCCGAATGAGACTTAGCGAAACCGATGAATATAGATATCCTAGCGCTAGAAATGCCCCCGGAAATGAACACCAAGTAAAGACATGATCAAGGACACGATTGTGCATACCTATGGCAAAGCCCTGCAGGGGTAATAATAATTCTGTCAGCTCCTGTAGTTTCTAGATGACAAATTCCGCCCAGCACGGGCTCCGAGGACGGTGGTTGTACACGATAAGAAAATAATATTTGAGTCAAATGTGACCTTCGTATCTCTCCCCCGCGTTCGGTGGCCGGAAATGAACGGAGTAATAAGTAAAATGGCACACGTACTTCTTGGGTAACCTCTGGATCATGTTCAAGCTGTACATATATCACACGCTGAGCTCCGGACTGAGGTGAGGTTGACATAAGATGCGCTAGCAATGGCGATTTTGAAAGAATGATAGCGTGAAGGCGGTAAGTATTTTGATGCACATGCTAAATAAAAAATATGTATTAGGTACAATAAATATGATGTGATGAAAATTCGCCTACCAGTATGGTATCGGCATAATTCTGGAAAGGTGAAGATTAGGTTTCGTCTCCTAGAAAAATCCTGTACATACGCCAGTCTGAAATCCCGCATGATAGAGGTGATGTACAATCTCCTCGTTGTGCATTTGGTACGGAGGACTGCGTAGGTTGAGTAATTTCACAATTGCCACGCGTTCGAGTGACGAACCCAAAAGTCAGAAAGTCGCACGCAAGGGACAGACATCAAATCAGCCGACTCACTGCGAGAAACCATTCTGAGCCCCAGTAAAATTCGTCGGCTCACGGTGACTACCATTGAATGAGCATTCTGACTGTCCGGTAGGAGGTGTGAGCCCGTTACTCGAAAGGTCATTAGTTACTATGGACGTCGATGATGTTGCATTCATCGCAAAGAAGAAAATGAAAGAGAACAATAAGTGAGTAAAGGTTACTACTTGCGTGTGCACTGTGTGGTACCAGTGAAGAACCAAGTCACGCTGCACGTCACATGTCACGGTAATACACTATGGGTCTATGCTTGCGAACACCAGCTAACGAACGTCTCTCGATCCATCACTGTCCCGTATCCTTTAGATGACTCCATCGAAACAAAATGAGTCATGAGGTTGTTGGTGAAACCGTGCGCAGCAGCTAGGGGTCCACAAACAATAGGGTAAAGGGGTGGCGGAGAAATATACTCATTCGATGAGTCGGCCGCGGGAGATAACTGAGATTCAGAAGAGTCCATCATTACAGGTCGCACGCAAAGTAAAGATTCTTTTTACCCACCATATGAGATCGGTCCGATGCAAAAGAACGCAGGTATTCTTCTCCAGATATAACCCTGAAAAGACTAATAAATGATGTTAGAAATACGATACCGAGCAAAACGGGGGCAGACATACCTACGATACTGTGGTGGTATGTCTGAATCTGGTGGGAAGGTCTTCTCAACATACTCTTGACAAGATCCGTGATTAAATTGTCATGACGCCCGTGCATTATATATCTGCATACCTTCCCAACGACTAGGCATCTCCAAGATAGAATCGAAATCGTAGATCCAAGTTTCCTCTTCGATGCTTAGCGTCGTGTTGAGCAACCCACGATGAGATTCTGACCGGCTGCGCAGAACCAAGACGGCGTGATAATCCCAAATTACTGCTGTATTTGCAGCAGGCGCCTTGAGTTGACTCCAAAGGGCAACCTAAACTTTCTGTGACATAAGGTTCACGTATTCGTCGGCTGTACACAGTTTACCGTCTTGGTCACATTCGATACGATGACAGCAAAAATGTCCCATGTAGCTTTTACCTGTGCTTGTTCCAGAAATCGATGTACAAGGAAATAAATGTTTTCCTCGCAATAGCACGAGGTGTATGGACTGTCGAGAGGTTTAGGAAGCATTGCTAGTTTGAACTCCGACAAGCACGATCGTCGCCCTACCTCACTCGGAGGAGCTCCCGGTTGGGTCTCGGTTCCGTATCCTCGCGCTAGTTGGAACGCTCCACCGGACTGGACCAGGGAGTCCCGTCCAAGCATGTCATTTGTCATCATCGGGCACATGATATTATAAAATTTGTTTTCAGTTCACGCTGTGCTTTGAACGAGAGCCTGTGTTTTGATAAGATATGGGAAATGCCGAGAGAAGGCAATGCTGAGGATATTATTGTTCATGAATAAATTAATAATGGGGGACAACACGGATCCAAGACCTGCGTTATCGTTGTCAGCGTGTCATGCAAGCATTCATATAAACTTTGGACTTACATCCCACCACACAAGCCTTAATTAATCACGAGCACGGTCACAAGGAAAAAGTGCCACATATCACACAACCTTTGCGTGCTGATGATTAGGTCGGGAGTATTGATCTCATCCCGATCAGATCATGATCGATCAATAAGCTTTTGATCGATTTTCTTGATAGTGAGTCCGGGGTGCCTTAGTCTCAAAGATTCTCCCAGCGTCCAATCAAGAAATTGCCAATTGTGACCTACAGGGGGAGGCCTTCAATATCTCAGTAGAAAGCTTGCTGAAAAAATACCTCACCCCGCTCTTGTTTATCAGGTTGTTGTTGGCGTGGTCCACCGAGCAAGGGTCCAGGAACCTTGCGAACGAATAATAGTGTCGTGTCTTCAAGGCCGACGGTCAATAAATTTAGTGCTCACGCAGTAGAATGACTCTGTAAATCGTAAGCGGAATCGACGGATAAGTATCTAAATTTCACACAACACAGGAATTCATTATCATCTGTCCGGAGGTCTCTCGTAGGACAGTGAGAACATTTAGCGCTCAAACCGCGTAAGTGAACTGCCTACAGACCTCTAACTTGGCAATGATAGGCGGCACAGCTCGGCAAAAAATTCACGTTCTCGCGGCGATGAGATCGATATCTTGAGAAAGTACAAGGAGAGCTCAAGACAGGCGTCTGCACACGTCATGAGGTTGTCACGGAGCCAGCCAAAGTGCGAGAGGGGGAGCATTAAATTGGACAGCATAGCTTTCCGCGCAACGTTTGGATATATGGATATACCTGAAACGATGATCAATTAGATAGGAGGTGGATATTTATTTCCATTATCTAAGAACTATTCGTAAGCAAACAAGCAGCACTCCCCAAGTGTCTGCGTATGTCGTGGAAATCGACATCGTGAGCTGTAAAACGATCTATAATCAGTACCGCTCAAGTGCATGATGGGGAGGCAATTGCAGAATTCGGAACGCCTCCTCAGGATAGCGATGCTAAACTCACAGTCTTCGACCTCTCCCCATCTTTGAATCTGACTCGAGACTTCAACTTGTGCAGCCACAGCTGCTTCTTCAACAGTGATATGCCTCTTCACGAGCGCAAGCGCAATCAAAAAAGATTTCGTCGTATATGTCACCCGTTCCATGGCTAGAATGGTCAATGTGGTCCCCTTAACTTCAATGATAATTCCATGGCACTCACCAGCCAACTCCCAGGGGTCCATCTCAGTCAAGATAGTGTCAAGCTTAGCTCGCGTTTCTGCCGATTGTGAATGGAACAAAATCGAGGTGAAGACTTGTATATCGATGTTGAACGTAGATGTCGCCCATTCGATCAATGGATCCCAGTGCTTGTGCTGGAGTTCTACCAACGGAGGTGGGTCGTCGTGATGAAAACTATGGAGTCATCATCAGATTGGTCGTTCTTGTGAAAATAAACACGCACCATATTGTATCAGTATCCAAGTAATTAAGAAGAGATTCTCGCACTTCCGAGCATGTTTTTTCATCATGGAAGGCATCGATGGCCCGTGAGGCTATGGAAGTCTGCGCTAGTCAATGACAGGGATTATATCATCGTTGAGCACTCATACCATGGGAAGAGCATGAGGTTTCAGCAAGATTTCCTGGTTTTCCCATTCGTTTGCAATGAGTGTTGCAACTAAACGCTTGTTTCTGGGTAACAGCAGGGTATTGCCAGACGGTGTTTTCAACGCTCGCATGTCAAGCGTCACAGCGAGTCCGTCATCTCTCTTTGAGATTCCTACTGTCTCCCAAAAACGTTTCAGGGTAGCCTCAGCACCTAAAATGCATAAAAAGACGATCACAGCAGCCAGTCTTGCAATGCTCACGATTTGTCTCCGACACCACCGTGCCATCGGGGGGTAACGAAGCAGTAGCAAATGACCTAGAGAAAGAGTGTACGCTCGAGTTACACGAGAACCTTACACGAGCTGTTGACCGTGAAAGTAGCCTGCAGTACATGGTATGACCGACTAGAAAATTACGAGTTGAACTTGAAACTGCTCTGTTCAAGTTGAATAATATATTTGGTCCTCTACGCTCATGTAAGCTCAGTGACTAAGTACCTCGCTTCAGTGCGAACAATGAAGCAATCAAAGCAAACGATTGTAAACTGTTAGGAAATAAGTAAGAGTAACTAGCAGTACTTGTGTGTAGATTTCAAGGTGATCCGAACCCAGCATCGATCACAAGAACACGCCGTTTGTACTCTCCGTGACCCGTCATACCTATATGATTGTGACAAAAGAAGAAGTTAAATCACAAACACGTGACGTAATGCACTCCGCTGTGACGCGACCGTACTCTCAGCAAGTCTGCATCCTTTAACGCGATCAGGATGCCGCAAGGGCAGTCTGCCAGTAGACGAAACCAACCACAGATCTCTTCATTTTTTGTCCAGAGCTCCGCGACGAAGAAGCGTGCACTCGTTTCCTCGCACTCTCCCATAGACTTGACTATAGATGATTCTAGCAGTGACTCGGGCGTCGAAAAGCAGCCCCCTATAAAGAAACTGAAATCGAAGCATCCTGAATCCCCTACAAGTCAATGGCGTTTTGATGCCTCCTCCAGAAGGGAGTATTCTCATACCACGAACATACAAGATCATAAATCGCGCTCACGAGTAGACTTGGAACGTATTCTACTTGGAACGTCAAGACACCCTGAAGACAGAGAGAACTCGAGCGTGGACGGTGATAGTTCTCAGGATGGAAATGACTCAGATCCTGCGTTCACCCAACTCCGAGCAATGTTCTCCTTACCTACCAAAGGCGGCAGGAAATCGCGCGAGAAGCCTGTGGTTAGGAAGACGAAAGCGGCCGCAGAGGTCGGGCCTAGTGGTGAGACTTATACGCCCTACGAATCTCAGGTATGCCGTGAAGAATGACATCAACTTTCTTACTGATTTAATTATTTAGGCCTTATCGTTCATCAAAGAACATCCTGGGACGATCCTAATGATTGAGAAGGGCTACAAGTTTTATTTCCACGAGGAAAGCGCGAAAGTAAGTGAACTTAGTAGAGTGGAATATTTGCGCGTTACGAAACAATGCCACCATAGATTGCCAGCGGAGAGCTCGGAATTGTTGCTTATACGAAGCGGAACCTTCTCACTGCCTCCATTCCCGTTCATAGGAAAGAGGTACATATGAAGAAGTAAGCCTTAACCTTAGTTATCACCTGGAACTTATTTGATTCTGAGTCAGGCTCCTCTCCAAAGGTCACAAGGTTGGTATCATCGAGCAAACAGAAACAGCCGCCCTCAAAAAAGCGAGCGAGAACAAGAACACACTTTTCGAGCGCAAACTTACTCAGTTGTATACAGCGGCAACGTAAGAATAGACCTTATTGCATACTGAATCGATCAACTTACTTTGATGTAGTTATGTTGATGAGGTCGGTTCTGTCGACGACCTCGATAAATACTCTGCACCACCCCTCTTGTGTCTTGTAGAGAGTCATAAACTCGATTCTGCTGAAGGAGAAATCACCATTGGTATGATTGCGATCACGCCAAGTACCGGTGACGTTATTTGGGATGAATTTCACGGTATGCACAATCAATTAACTACCCGGAATTACTCACAAACAAAACACCCAGACACCATCATGCGCGCCGAGCTCGAGGTAGGTCTCACATAGCTATAATTGAAACGTTGTCACATCGCGATTTAGACAAGACTTGTCCACACAAGGCCTGCAGAATTGCTAGTTCCCGCCGAAGGTCTTACCAAAATGACCCAAAAGGTTTTGGCACATTTTGCAAAGTGAGCGCTGTCTTATTTCTCGGATGGAGAATTTGTGCTGACGACATTTTTTATGATCTCCAGTGCTTCTCATGACCAACGAATGAGGACGGAGCATTTCAACTCTGCATTAAGCGGCTCGGAAGCTTTCGATTTTATCACAAACTTTTACACAACCAAAGCTACTACCAGCACCGAAGAACTTAACCCAGGTCAGATGTAATGTTACAGTTATGTCCTGTGGACGTTCATGAGGTTGTTGCAGACAAACTTCTGGCTCTTGTTGCTGGTCTTCCGCAATTAGTTGCCATATCTTTAGCCCACTCCATTAAATATCTCTCAACATTCAGCATTGCAGACGCGCTTTTAAGCGTGAAGTTTTTCACAAAATTCACCGAGAGGAGTCATATGCTTCTCAACGGCAATACCATGACTAACCTGTTAGTATTCATCAGTATTATTCCATAACAATGTCCCTGATGCGTACAACCGTAGTGAAATATACCAGAACCAGACTGACTTCACTACGCATGGTACATTGATGTCGATTTTGGATCACACATCCACGAAGTTTGGGGCGCGGCTCTTAAAGAATTGGATTGGCAAGCCGTTGACAAACAAGCTGTACGTACTTCCTGGGACATTGCAATTGCAACGTTTACCTTTGACCAGGATCCTGAACCAGAGAATAGATGCTGTGGAGGAAATCAAGTCCAGCAAGTTACCACAACTAGTGGAACTTTGCCGTATCTTGAAAAGACTCCCCGACCTTGCTAAGGGCCTGTGCCGCATCCAGTACGGGAAGGTAGGAGATTCATGTTTCAGACATATTTATTATAATCGTGCTTCAGTGCACATGTCAAGAACTTGCATCGTTTCTTTCAGCTT